ATAAGTTACTTCGTCTAGAGAAATAGCAAATTCATGTTTGCTTTATCGACTATATTACTATTAATCTCATTTTCATGATCCTTGGTTTAACTTGACTTTTACATTTATCCTGTGTCGCACTGGCATTGATGGTTGCCATGGCGTGATAAAGTCCTCATGCTACTTACGACTCGGTATCGAATCCTGTGGGAGGGGTTGGTAGGATTTAGGCAAGTTCAAAATCGTGATTTTAAAATTACTTATAGTCTTTAAACCTATCTATATTGACAAGAAGTTAAATTATACTCTCAGTAAGAGTAAATATCCTTTATTAAAAAAGTATAAAAGAATAGGTCATTACTGTAATCCATGTGGATCTACGAATCTGCACATATGATTAGACTCATTTGATTACTGTAAAATAAAACATTTTTCTTTCATAAAGACAAAGTTAGCGATACACGTTAGTCCTTCATCCTAATAAATCAAATTTATGCTAATGGTCTACTGAGATTGGTTAGATAGTTAAGTATTTATATGAACAGATCGTCATCATTGCACACGCAATGGGGGATAAAATAAATATAAGCGCCTCATGTATATTATAAATAAATGTTTTAGAATTAAAACCCACAGCTAAAGGCGGATTAATACTATCGATTTTTCTATGAAAATTCTTCTATGTAGCACAATGCAGGGTATTTTTACAATATTTCTCACAGTTACGGATAAAAATCTAGGGATAATAGCATATCAATATGAGTCAAACATATGGTTTTGGTTGCTGAAGCCCCCAAGATAAGTCTATTCTGCCAAAAATTTAAGCAACGGATGAATGGTGGGTATATGAAATAAGAAATGTCATAATTGCCATTTGAAGTAAGAGGAGTTTTGGGCTTAAGAAATATACGCTTGGTAGATACAGAAATATTATGAGGATAAAAATTCGCAGTATTACCTTCACACTCATGTTAATAAATTTTCCAGGAAAATTTGGCTTAGTGAGGAATGAGGAAAGTATTAGTTTTTAGATGAACAGCTATAAATTTGTGAATGTCCACAATTCACATACTATATATAACATTTCATTCAGAAAACAAGCTCTAGTAATAATCAACATCAAAATTTTGGGTAATAAATAACTGTTGAAACATTATCATATTCATACAGATTATAAGATGTCTAATAATAATGGTGTTTCTTTATCTATATCGAGTTTAGTCGCTCGACTCTTGTGTCACAGCCTTGATTCTCTCTCTGTTCGATGTTGGAATTACCAATGGAGACTGGCTACTTAGAGTTAGTAGATGGTACAAAATATTATGGCTTTCTATTTGGATCTTGCGAATTTACCGAAGGGGAAGTCGTATTTCAGACGGGAATGGTTGGGTATCCCGAATCGCTTACAGACCCCTCGTATTCTTCACAAATTCTCACACTTACTTTTCCATTTATTGGTATTAAGCACAGTTTATTAATACATATATTTATTAGGAAATTATGGAGTTCCTTCAGAATCTTGCGTTGGTGACTTAGGTCTACCTAGTCACCTCGAGTCCGATCGTATTCATGTTTCCGGTCTAGTCATCTCTGATTATTCATCACAGTACTCTCACAGAACTGCCACAAAGTCACTTCACGAATGGCTTTTTGATCATAATGTTTCTGGAATATATGGGGTTGATACTCGTTTGCTTACACAGCACCTCCGATCACAAGGTATATCCATCTCCTTTATAATATAAAAATAGGCACTGTATTAGGCCGAATAGTTCCCACCTCAATTACCCCTCCCCTTAATTGGATTGACTTAAGCAACTCAAACTTGGTTTTAAAAGTTAGCTGCACATCCCAAAGAGTTTACAATCCAAGTGGCGATATACATATTGCGATCCTAGATTGTGGTCTAAAGTTCAACCAGATTAGATGCCTTTCCAAACGTGGCTGCAAAGTAAATGAAGCTGAATATTTGTTTCCTTTAATTATTATCGTATTTTATGTATTTTTTTTAAATTCTTCTAGTTGACCGTCTTGCCATGTTCGTCGCAATTTTGCCAATTGCCAACCGACGATATTGATGGTCTTCTTGTAAGTAATGGGCCTGGAGATCCAGCGCAATATGATGATATTGTAAACAATATATTGTGGTGGATGACCGAAGTACGGAAACCATTGCTCGGAGTGTGTTTAGGGCATCAATTAGTGGCACGAGCTATAGGCGCAAAGACGTATAAAATGAAGTTCGGTAATAGAGGTCACAACCAACCATGCATCCACCTAGAGACTGGCCGCTGTTTCATTACCAGCCAGGTTAGATTTAGTCGGATAGTAGCTTTATTTTTACGGCATTTTTAAAATCTTTTTTTCTATTTCTTATTAGAATCACGGATACGCTGTCGACACCAGCACTATCCCCTCCGAATGGATTGAGATCTTCCGCAACGCTAATGATCTATCAAATGAAGGCTTGGCTCATACACGATTGCCTTATTTAACTGTTCAATTCCATCCAGAACATTGCGCCGGTCCAGCTGATACGGAATTTATATTCTCTGTTTTCGTTGATTATGTCCGCTTTCTCTCTAGAGGTCAGGAATGCAGTTACTCTCTTAGAGAGGAATTAAACAAAGCCATTGTTTACAAGCAAAAGCCTCATGAAATTACTCTGCAAAATATTAGAAAAAGGTTAAAGAAGGTAAACAAAAATTGCCACAAATTTGAACTATATTCATCTTGGAACCTTACCTTTCTTTCCTACTTTAGGTCCTCTTATTAGGCAGTGGAGGTTTGTCCATAGGTCAGGCCGGCGAATTCGATTATTCTGGTAGTCAGGCGCTAAAAGCCCTTAAAGAAGAAGGAATTCAAACAATATTGGTTAATCCAAACATCGCAACAGTACAAACAACTGTTGGTATGGCCGACAAGGTGCTTTAATTATTTCGGTTTTTAAAAATCCTCCTGCTTTTTTCTTTAATTTTTCTTGCATTATATTATCACTACTTTTTTTTATTACGTCCAGACATATTTCTTGCCACTAACACCTGCTTGTGTCTCACGTATTATTGAAGCAGAACGCCCTGACGGAATTCTTATTTCTTTTGGTGGGCAAACAGGCTTGGATTGTGGCTTGTCACTTGCTAAAACAAATGAGGAAGATATGTTTGATGAAAATATAGAACATACAAATACAAATATAGATGCTGGAGTATCAGAGGACAAACAAGTAAAAGAGAGTATTCTTGAAAAGTTTGGATGTCAAATTTTGGGGACCCCGCTTAGTGCAATCATTTCAACAGAGGACAGACAATTGTTTGCCAGTACTATGAAGGAAATTGGCGAGCAGGTTTCGCCTGCTATGACGGCTAATTCTATCAAGGCAAGTGTATCTACTTGCTTCAGAACAACTACAATCTTTATTTTCTACTATTGCCTGTTATTAAATTGGCGTCATTTTCTAGAATATCTCTTGAGTTTTGGCTTATTAACATAAATTTAACAATTGAAATTTGCTACACTAAGCAGTACTCGTTAAATTGGATTTTATGGTCATAAATTTATCACAAATCGTTTATCAAACTCTTAAGGGCTCTCGAGGACTTTAATATGAGAAACAATGAGTAATTCTGTCCTTCTTAGGTATTCCATTCTTAGTGCTACTGAGACTATAAATTGATGTTGTACAACCACAAAATCCAAAATGAACATGCAAAATTTCCTAATCGTATATGATTACTAACTACTTTATGTTATGTCCTGTATTTCATTAGTTTAGCTTACGATAAATAGTACTTATTACTATAAAATCACTTTCACTATCCACTTTATCTTAGTTGCTTCGCAATTAGCCACTAGCTACTTTCGCTTTTGGCTTTTTATTATTATTATGTTGACGTATATATAACCGATTATAGCAGGCATACTTATATTTGATAAATATTTTTCGAATTTTTAACCTCTGCGCATTACTTGGCTAATAAGGCCATTCTTTATAAGAGGCGTTGAGCTTAGTTTCTAAACATTATTAATTACTTATTATTGATAGAATTCGTTGTCTTTATTACTCCCAAAGGAGGCACTTTCTGTTGGTAACATACTTGGGTACCCCGTTCTCGTTCGAACTGCTTTTGCCTTAGGCGGACTCGGTTCTGGATTTGCCAAATCGCCCGAAGAGTTGCAGCGGTTGGCTACATCAGCTCTAGCTCAAACAAGTAAAATCTTCATTGACAAGTCCGTCAAAGGGTGGAAGGAAATTGAATACGAGGTTAGAGCTCTTACTTAAATATACTTGTAGTTATCCAAATCCTATTTAGTAATACTGCCTTTCAAAACACTAACTATCTGATTTGTCTTCCAAAGGCAAAACAGAGCTTCAATAATTGAAAACAATTGAAAGGCATTTCATTTGTTATATTTTAGAAATAACCCTATATTATAAAGTAATAAATTCTATTATATTTGTGCACTATACTTTTCAAAAATGTCTTTTGATCGCAACGACATTTTAACGAGCTTTCGATTCCGAATCGTTCGACTTTATATATTTTTCCTAAATGACTAGAAAATCTTTCTATTCAGGCTTAAATCATGGGTTTTGTGGCACAAATGTAGCCTTACTTTATTTTAATTAATCCACTATCTTGGTTAAAAATACATAATTTGATAATTGCCTGTGTTAATATTTACTTTAATTTCAATCTTTTTCAGTCTTATTGGTGATTTGACATCACATTTTGAACATAAGCTCACTGCCATCGACATTCTTATAAACTGGCCAGATCTTTTGGCTAACATGAGATTATGATATCGTTCGATATACTTCAGTTAATATGGTCAATAAAGTTAAATAATTCTTATTCATTGTTTTCATTTTTATAATGCCTAATTCATATTAAGCTATTATTTGTCCAAATATTACTTTTAGTTCCTAGTGCCAAATGCTAGACATTAATCACAATCTAAAGCAGACCTGTAATTTGTTTTTACTCCAACGTTGATATTCTTTAAAGCATTGACAATGGACACTTATAATCAGTAATCTAATAAAATGCCATCGAATCTTAAAGATTAAAGGTAGACAATGCACAGGTAACGAGAACAATTTCAACATTCATTTATGAGCTAATGATACACTACTTCAACTAGAGTTTGGTCAAGTTAATTCTGTGATCTTTTAGACTCTAAGTGCAGGTTGGATTTGACCTATACTATTCGAAATCATTGTGCGATAATCTTTATTATAATTGCTTCTTAAAACTCAAATATGAAAATCTCAATTACGTTGAGTCTTACTTTTATTCACACAAGGTGATTCGAGATGCTTACAATAACTGTATTGCAGTGTGTAACATGGAGAACGTTGATCCTCTTGGAATTCACACCGGCGAGTCGATCGTAGTGGCGCCTAGCCAGACACTCACTAACTTCGAATACAATATGCTCAGATCTGCCGCAATTAAGGTATTCTGCTATTTGTGTTCCATAATTGATGTCGACAAATGTATTAATTTTTTACTCATTTTAATAGCTTATAAGCCAGTAGCCAGTTTAAAAAACTCCTTATTTTGAACAGAAATTTATAAGTCTTGTCAGCCAGTTCATTAGTGATGACCTGAAAGTTTAACTCATTCCTCTTGAAAAAGGCATTAAAGGTAGTCTAATTTTCCTCCCAAATGTGAGTGCTTAAGTTGTGGACACTTGAATTTTTTAAGATTAATACTGCAAACCTCACTAATAATCCAATTCTCGTATATTGCGGGCATATTAATCGAAAAATAAACTGCTCTCTATTGGTTAATTCGGTGCTATCTTTGAATAATCGTCAGCCCAACTTTGCTATCTTTTTGATCTGTCCGTATATTTTACGGTAAAGCGTCGAATGGTTAACCATCAGCGAATTTTAATACATTTTAATTTTATTTCCTTTC